CCAAGAGTTGGCGGTGGGTGGTGATGACTAGTGCCTTCCCTCTAGTCCTACACTTCTAAATTAGGGACGGCTAGCGCAGATAGCCCTCGTGTAGCTTTGCGCGAAATTCAAAACAACCAACTAAAGTATAACTTACCACACGTTAATATCCTAAAGCACGGTTTACCATATGTTAATAATCCAAGACAACAGCTCATCGTGTGTTAATGTCTTAAAGTAGAATTGACACATGTCGATAGCCTAAAGAGGCGTTTATCACACGTTAATATCCTCGTGTTAATTGAGAAGAATAAAGATTGAACATTAACATACTGTCGAGAGATTAACTTCGTCTTACAGAAGGACAGACAGACAGACAGACATTGGTAGAAACAGAAGCGTCTTGTACTTTTAGTATGCTTTCAGTACCTGATAAGGAATTTAATCAAAAAACGAATCGTTTTGCGAACTCCGTCCAGATATTTGATATTTAGACTATCCAGTATCTCAGAACTCAACATGTTTGATGTTCATGTAATGTTTCTGTTCATTTATGTTCTTCTAGTAATGCTGGTTGAGGCCGTAAATGTTAGGACAACCCAAAATCTGGTATTTCCTCTTCCAACCCAGATCCCGGGTTCGAATTGGCTTAGAGTCCAGGATTCGCTACTCCTTCCTGCCCAGTCTCTAATTGAATATTCTAACGATGGTGAGTATTTAACTATCTGTCTCTCTCTCTCTTTCATAAATAAAAGTGTGACAGGTACTTGTGTATAGTACTAACAGTCATGCATGTGTGAATTTGTTTTTTCTGTCAAATGCTACGCTCTGTTGCACCTATTCGAAACAAGAAAACTTAACATATCCACACTGTTTACACACTGAGGTAGTGCAGTTAATAGTCTTTGCGACAAAGTGTGAATGTGTTATAGTGTTTACACACTGAGGTAGTGCAGTTAATAATCTTTGCGACAAAGTGTGAATGTGTTATAGTGTTTACAGGTTGAGCTTGTGTAGCTTGTATTCTTTACAACAAAGTGTAAATGTGTTATAGTGTTTACAGGTTGAGCTTGTGTAGCTTGTATTCTTTACAACAAAGTGTAAATGTAAACAATATAAAACATTCACACTTTATTGTAACGAATATAAGCTACACAAGCACAATCTGAAAACAATATAAAACGTTCACATTTTATTGTAACGAATATAAGCTAAACAGGCACAACCTGTAAACAATATAAAACATTCACACTTTGTTTGTTGTAAATAAAGGTTCTAAATTATTATACGAAATCAACCTGTAAACAATATAAGACATTCACACTTTGTTGTAAAGGCTATATATTATATGAAATCAACCTGTAAACAATATAAAACATTCACACTTTGTTTGTTGTAAATAAAGGTTCTAAATTATTATACGAAATCAACCTGTAAACGATATAAAACATTCACACTTTGTTGTAAAGGCTATATATATTATATGAAATCAACCTGTAAACAATATAAAACATTCACACTTTGTTTGTTGTAAATAAAGGTTCTAAATTATTATACGAAATCAACCTGTAAACAATATAAGACATTCACACTTTGTTGTAACGAATATAAGCTACACAAACACAACCTGTAAACAATATAAGACATTCACACTTTGTTGTAAAGGTTATATATTATACGAATATAAGCTACACAAGCACAACCTGTAAACAATATAAAACATTCACACTTTGTTTGTTGTAAATAAAGGTTCTAAATTATTATACGAAATCAACCTGTAAACAATATAAGACATTCACACTTTGTTGTAAAGGTTATATATTATACGAAATCAACCTGTAAACAATTTAAAACATTCGCACTTTGTTTGTTGTAAATAAAGGTTCTAAATTATTATACGAAATCAACCTGTAAACGATATAACACAGGTTGTGCCTGTGTAGCTTATATTCGTCACAATAAAGTGTTAATCTGTTATATTGTTCCAAAATTAACTCGTACAGTTTTCGTCTTTATACTAAAGTGTAAACCCGTCTTATTGTTTACAGGACTCTATCGTATAGTTTTTATTTTTACTGTAAAGTGGTAATCTATTTTACTGTTTACAGAACTAGCTCGTACAGTTTTCGTCTTCATAGTAAAGCGTTTCAATTTTTACAAGACATACCTATAAATATTCGTCTTTATAGTAAAGTTTTAATCTATCTTATTGTTTACAGGATTAGCTCGTGTAGTTTTTCGTCTTTACAACAAAGTTGACGAGCTATTAAAACCTGATGCTGGTTTCCACTCCCACATGACTCAGGGACAGGACATTACAAACGTTACGTGGGTACTCAACTCTCGAGTTGTTGCCGTTTCTGTGGGTAGAAGAAAGACGTTTCGCTTGTTAGAACCTGTGCAGATCACCTTCAAGCATATTCAGGTGGTTTTTAAATAAGGTTTTTTTTTTTTTTGTTTATTCCTTTATTTTGTAGATTATGTATATATCGATTGTCGTCTTAACACAAAATTAGGCTTATCACAAAACTCTTTGAAAAGCCTTCAGAGAAACGGTCATTATGTCTCTAGATTGCATGCTTTTCAGTTTTTATTTTTGTCTCTCTCTTTTCTATTATTATTATTATTACATGAATTCGTAGAATTTCCAGACTTTTCTTGAGAAATAATGAGTGTTACTTCACAATAACATCGTATAGGAATGATTTTTATTTTGTTAATATACCTTTACTGAAAAACGGTAACTAACGAATCAACGCGTAACGTCAACTGTAATAGACTAGACTAGGTGCTATAGTTACGTGTTTCACATACCTTAATGTTATATCCCAGAACACACATTGTGGGTTTGTGACATTTTCTTCCTGAAAAAAAAAAAAAACTACATTATAAAATTATACTTTTTGTGTCAGAAAAATAAATATATTTCTAACAACATAAAAGTTAGGTTGTAATATATTACACGAGCCACATAGACTACATTCAAAACAAAAATACCATTTTGATGTTGCCCTTCGCCCAATGTTTCATACAACCCAGATGTTGTGTTATAACTACAAAGTGACTATTTTTACAGTGTGATTTTAGACAATATTAAATTCAAAAGTATACATACAAACACTTATTGCACGACAAAGTCAGACATTTGGTATGCCATTCTATGATATTTGATGATCAGAAAAAAGTTTGAACATCCACCTATGATGTTCAGTACTTGAAAGATAAATAAACTAACACTATTTAAGATGTTCGATACACACAACGACCGTTAAATTCTTACGTAGTTTATACACGCATTCCTTCTTTGACACAATAAAGGTATTTAAACTTGAGTAGGACAATTCAGGTACATGTGTTTATTATTATCATCTCGATAGGAATAACTTAATATTTTTTTTAGAACAGTAATGGCTTTTTCGATCACTGGTGCGATCATTCTCAAGTACACAAATTAGAGATTGTACCAGTGATCGAAACGTAATACCTTTTTTTTAAAAAAAAATAATCTTCCTTACTCTTAAAGCTATATCCTGTAATAAAATCATACTTAATAAGTAAGTAAACTCAAAACAAAATAATAAATTCACTTGTTGTTGTTGTTGTTGTTTTTCCAGAGAACGAGCGAAAATGGAATGGTGCTGCCATCTATTGACTAGGATCATTTGATATATTAATTTTGACTAGCCTACGCAAATATTATGTTCGATGTTTGAAGAAATTGTTATCAATCCCCATCTTATGATGTTTGGTACTTTTAAAAGGTAAAATTTATTTGAATTCTCATCTCAGTTTGTCGATACTCTGTTAAACAATCCCAGACGTACGAGAATCTAAGTTTTAATCAACATCACTGACGCAATCCTAATGTAGAATATTGTAATAATTCAAATTCTGGTTTTAATACGACCAAGCTCGTATTGTTTTCCGAGGAATTCAAACTATAAAGATGACAAAGAGGAGTTAACATAGCTCCATACAGAATATGTTGAAATAACATTTCCTAATCCTCACACTCGATCAGTTAATTCAAGTTTCTATATAAATATAATAGTACTGTCTGTTGTCTGTCCATGTAATTACTTCGTAGGGTTTGGATGGATCTTCGTGAAAATTGGTATGGAGGTTCATTAGGTCCATGCGGGGGTACATACAAATGTTCAGTTTTGCATTTT